GTTGTATAAATTTGAGAATTAATTTAGGTTATGTAAGACTTTATATTGATTTTCTTTGTAAATTTGAAAGATACAGGTCTAAAATTTTAAAAAAATATGTATTTTGATATCAGAAACAAATTCAATTAAGAGGTCAGATGAGGTTTGCTTATTAAAATCTTGAGATATTGTCAATTTTTATTGGACAACTTATTAAAAACATGCTTTGTGTATTTAACCCTCATAAATAAAAGCAAAAAAAGAAAGCACAAAAATCAAACTTTAAAAAACCTTTTCAAGAAAAAAGAAACCATTATAGAATCTAAAGAGCTTGAACATACAATGTATAAAAAACTTATAGATATTGAATTATGCATATTAATCTTGAAATAGCCATGAAATGATTAACAAATTAGAAAAAATAATATTAATAAATTTTTTTGCAAGTACGTTAACACTTAAGATCGTAAAGTTCTGTAAAAAAGAGACGGCTATTTATATGTTCATCATAAAAAAGTGTCATAATAAACAATCAAATCTATTTTATTTATCTATTGGTGCAACTGTCACTGAGCTTGAAAAGAGAATTTAAAAAAATGATAAAAGTTAACACAATAAAGAGTCACAAATTGAACATTATAGCAATCTTTGGGTGTTGTTTATATCTTCAGAAATTTTGGTAATTCTCACTAGTATATATTGTTTTAGGTGCTCAATTGTTCTTGAAAAGTCTAATAATCTTCCAAAACAAAATAAATGGCTTCGAAGTATTGATTATTTATTCAAAAAATGGTAGATGATATTAAATATTTTGAGCGAGCAAAAAAGCTTCTAAAAACTTGAAGAGGATGTAATAAGAACACCTTTACTGGTAGCATTAATTTAGGCTTAAAGCTTTATACAGTATTAAGAAAATTTTAAATATTCAAATTTGAATGTTGGTTGTGAATTTATCTTGAATAAACAATTTGAATAAATAATTTGAATAAATAATTTGAATAAATAATTTGAACAAATAATTCGAATAAATAATTTAAATAAATAATTTAAAACTTTGATTATTTTTCATATTCAGTAAACCTTGTATGTTAAACTCAGATTGAAATTTAAGAACTAATTATGTACAGTATATGATTTTGATGGCGATACTAGGTAGGTTACAGTAGGTTGGTTCACAGGTTGATTCACAGGTAGACCCATCCAAACCTATCTGGGTAAATTCGCAGGTCTATCTGTCTAAGCCTACCCGAGTAGACACAATCACAACCTGGATATCCAACCCACCCAGGTTCAATCACTAGGCCAACCACTCAATCCTTCACTATCTTAACTCTTATTATGATAATAATCCTAACTCTAGTACTAAAAGTGATCACTAAATTTTAATTTCATTATAGGTTTTTTCATATACGTTCTCAGACAAACTTTGTATCTCTATTAGAATATGTAGAAGAGTATTCCTATACAAGAATATAAATACAGAACAATAGCAACTATATACTGACCAAATTACTTCAAATCTTTAATTTAACAAAACACTACTAACAATAAATCACTTGAATGTACATAGCACAAAATCTAAACAAATATAATCTCAGCAGCTTTACAACATATATATAATAAACAATTTATAACTTCCAACATATAAACTCACTTAAAGCATCTTAATTATATTTACATCTTAAAATTAAGTAATATCATCTGTCAAATTAAAGCAATTATCAGAAATCAAAACCTATATCCAACCATCTTAATGTTAAAATTAATATCGTAATTAAAATGAAATCTGATCAAAATAAAACTGAAGACCTTTCATACCCACTCTTAGAGCCTATAAACCCACATATACTCATTTATTGTTACAGATTAAAATGAAATCTGATTAACTGAAATTTTTCTATATTTTAAAGAAATTTAAAATTAATTAGAGAAGATTTTTTGGGTTCTTTTTAGCATTAGAAGTAGGGTTTAGAGTTAGATTTATTAATAAATGAGTATATGTAGGTTTTATAGACTCTAAAGGTCACCACTAGTGACTATCTTCAAATCTCAATATTTGTATTAGACTATATGGATGATACACTATAGATAGCTCAATCTAAAGAAAAGATGAAACATATCATATTTTTTGCAAAATCCTTTTATCAAATAGCTAATCTTCGGATTAACCTATCTAAATTTGTATTTGCTACAAACTTCAATTCTACTACTATATTGTTTATTAATTCCACACTAAACTCAATACCAATTACTAAACTCTTTAAATACCTTGGTTATTAGTTCACACTAAACAACAAACAATCAGAGCAAATTAAATGTATTTAATAAAAAACATATTAATTAACCTATATAGCATATACTAAAAAATTACTGACAAACAAATTGCATATATTATAATCACTGTTATTATATCAACTTTTGAATACAGAATACATAATAATGTGATACTATTCTATATCACATGCAACAACATTTAAGCAAAATATCTCACTATTGCCAAATGCAATCACACTTTTCTAGATGAATTCCTAATTGTACTATATTAAATCTATATCTATATAATATTCATAACATCTGGAATATACAACTATAATATCATATTTTTAATTTTCTGCTACATATCAATAACTCTAATATATTAGATACTACTATTTGAATTAGACTACATTAACTTAAGAATAACCTATGATCTATAACTAATATACTACAATATTCTAACTTTTTAATCAATAGACCCAACAAATTTACTCTTAATTGCAAAATCATACAACTTTTGCTTACTTACAATTAAATATTATAGCTTATTTTAACTTTATATAGCTTCATACTATTCAGTATAATCTATAACTTCTGGAGACAATTTTTAAGAAACACCTAAATATATTATCTTCAAACAACAACTTAAAAAGCATAAAATTCTTTATCATGAACTACTCTGCATAGCAGATAATATAAATTACAAGATTAAACACATCTATCTCTTAAACTAAACATATTCTCAAAGATAAACTACTTTTGTAGTTTAGTAGATTAGAAGATCTAATATCTGAAGCTAAATACAACTGTTTACTAGTTAATCAATATTAACAAACAGAAACTAATATTTTTGCTATTAGTTTCTACTCTATCTCTAAAAAATTCAAGTTCTAAATAATTACTATCAATAACAAGAAAATCATTTTTAGGAAAATCTATAAATAGTTTCTAGATACCAAAGAAGTTTCTATTACACATTTACAAGCAAATTTTGATCTCAGTATCACTAATTGCTATTTACATTCACCAATCAATTGTTCGCTCTATTTAGGATGCTATTTTAATTCTAATTGATTAGATTCAACTTGTATCTTAAAAATATCTACTATTATATCTGCCAAATTCTTTAGAAGAATATTTAAGAATCAACTTAAATTTAATGCTAATTATATAGACCTTATTTTTTCTGCAGCTATTAAATATCTATTACCAAACCTGGTTTTATTAACACCACCTAATATTTCAGTAAAGACTTAAATATAACTAATTTTTCAACTCAGAAAAATAAAAAATTAACTTAAAAAAATAGCAATTAACAACTTGAACTCTAATCTATTTAATTTCCTTTCAGATGGATCTATTATTAATATTGGTATTGGTCAATACTTTATGGAAATTAGCTGAGTTCAAGTTAATAAAGACAATTAAATGAGCTGTTATTTTAATACTCAAATTAAACTCTAGCTATCTTTCAACAAGGCAGAACCTTTCATAATTTTATCAGCTATTTCTACTACCCCTCACAACTCTGTAATTAATATTTATACACACTCTCAATCTGTTATTTCTAAATATTACAAACTTTTATCCTCTATCTTCAACTTAAATAAACCTTTTAAATTTAATGCCTGGCTATTATAGTATACACTTTTTAATATTATAAAATCTTATTTATTACATATAACTTTTTATAAAGTTCAAGCCTATATAGATAATATTTTTAACAATTTAGCAGACTCTTTTACTGAACAACATATTGCTACTCCATATTTCAAATTCAATTATACTAATATTTATAAGCTATATCACAGATTACAATATGAAAAATAGAATTTCTTTGTTGAATAATCAACTTAACCTTTTATTAAAACTATTTGCAAAGTATATATTCTAAAAAATCTTTTTTTTCATAGATTCTAATTTTATAAAAAATACAAACAATTCAAAATATATTAAAACTATAATTAATTAAATAAATAAAATATAAACTGCTCTAAAGAACCTAGATACAACACAAAGTATACACAATAAACAACAAATATAAAGCAAAAAAGAGTAACAACAACTACATGACAACAACAAGAAAATTTAAAACCCTTGGGCTCTATTATACTATTTACTCTAAACATACAACTACAACTTCAAATAGACAACACCAACGATACTAATACTAGCAACAACAAAAAAAAATACAAATTAAATCTGACTTCACCTACACAGACACAAGTGCTAAAAAATGGCAGACACTCCTTTCAAGACTACTTCTAATACAAAAAGTAGGCAAACTAGCTTACTCTCATCAAAAAATATAATAACATCATCATTGCTCAACAACAACAACAACCAAGTAGTACAATCAGGTTTCAACAACATCCAAACCAATATATTGAAAAAAAACAATAACATAACCCAAAATAACAACAATGATATGAGTGCTATCAATAAAAAACCTGTCATTGGGCTTTCAATATTCAGTCAGTTTTCTGCATACCATCTATGAACAATCTATCATCAGAATTTAAATTATATTTGTGCCTCTAGAAAAATCTGATCTGTGTAGTTGATAATTTAACTATTATTAACTGTTAACCATTAACAGTTAACTATTATTTGTGCATTTATATTAACAAACACTCACTCTTCTTTTGTTACTTCATCAATTGCCAAAGGTTTCCGATGATACAATTCATCCTGTTGCTGGTAGTAAGTAGACTTCAAGATCTGTTTCGTCCCTGTTGAATTTTAACAGTAATCTAGTTGTTGCCATGATTCTCGTTGCTGTGATTCGTAGTTGCTGGTGGTAAATTGCCTGTTTCTTTTGGTGTTTGGATTTTGATAAAAGTTTTTTTTCTACTCATATACATGCTTAATTATAATATTTTTTTTTGTTTAGATAACCTTTGAGGCATTTGAGTTGGGAATCACTTTTGGTTTCATTGGTAATGTTTTTTGGGTATATTTTATTATTGGTTTGGGATATTTTTTTTATTATTGTCCTAGCTCATGTATACATTAAACAATATTCTTCTTTTAGAAAAGTTAAGCACATTATTCACTTTAGAACTGTCGTTAGCAGTATAGATTTAGTGTAGGGTCTTTTTTATTGTTACTATAATTGTGTATAGAGATGATAACAGCTTGACCCGACTTGTATATTTATTATTATAAAAACTGATTAATCAATAGAGTCAATTAAGTTGTTATTATCCCTAGTTGTATACATGATTTTGTTATGTATTAAATCATTGTTTTTATAAACACCTTTGTAATTATTTTATTTTTATAAATATATAATTTTATTTAATAAATAACATAAAAATTACAAAAAATATTTCTGAAATTTCTAAAAACTAAAGTCATAAATCTATTATTATTATTATTTAACTCTAATTTGGGTTAGTAGCAATGTCAAGACCATTTCATTGCATCAATGATAAATAATTATTAATATCAGCCAAATTAATAGTATTGAATATTCATTGATCTAATAATTACATTAAAATTTTTTAAATATACCTGATCAAAATACTTACTAAATAGAATTTCAAGGAGATTTAGAGCACTTTCTTGAAATATGCGATCTTACTTTCTCTGGGTTAGATTCTGAAAAAACAGATGAGGATATTTATTCTAAAGAAATAGAAAATTTTCAATTAGATGACTCAAGTGATGAAGATATTACGGGTAAAGAATCTAAAGACATTATGAAAATTTCTGAGACAGCTGTAAATGATCATATTGAAAAGCTCCAACAATGTTGTTCATGTGAGAGAAAATGTAGTGAGAAAATTCTATCAGATTTGCTACAATCTTTGGTTTTGGAAAGTCTCTAAATGAATAAAAAGCAATGATGTTATTCGATGTTAATACTTATTTCTTCTTTCAACCCTAATTTGTACCATAAACAACCAATTAAGAGATTCTCATTACCTTACTTTGGTGATGTTTGTTCTTCTTTTTTTTGAACATTTTGGGGATTTGGTTATTATGCTTTTCATCATTTAAGTAGTTGGATCAGAGAGCCCCAATCAATGTTACCACAGCCTCATGGAAATACTGGTTGACCGCCTAAAAAAGCCTTACCTGATGAAACTGTTAATGCAACAAAACTTTTCATTAAATTAATTGGAGAGCAACAAGGTGAAGCACTAGCTGTTAGAAAATATACTCAAAAACGGGCTGATGAAAGAATAACTGTTAGTTATGAACAAAATGATATTGTTCTTCTTCCATCCCATTATTCTTATGATCATCTTCATGCTGCTTATAATTCATTGCATCCTGAAAAGCTCATTAAAAGTTGTATAACTTTTTAAAAATTTGGAAAAACGATACTGAGCTTAGTAAGGTATTAATTAGAAAACCATCCAAAGACGTTTGTGATAAATGTATTTTATATAAATGTGCATTAAAAGAAAGTGTTAATGATACAGATGAAAATATTGATACACAATTAATAGCACATATATCAGACTATCAGGAAATGAGAGATATGTACGAAGATGATATTAAAAAAGCAAAAACCAGTATCATTCTTCATTTCACGTTTTTTCATTTGACTTTCCCAAAATATGGAATTACCTCATAACCCTCAACAGTCCAGAAGTTGGTATTATCGATCATTGTTGAAGGTGTATCAGTTTGGTTTTGTAAACGAAGGTATTGATAAACATTGGCATTGTATTTATACTGAAGGCAAAGCCTTAAAGGGGGCAAATGAAGCTGCCTCGATGATGCATTTCTTTTTTACTTCTGAAATAGGTAGAGCAAAAGAAATTAGATTATGGGCAGATAATTGTGGAGGGCAAAATAAAAATTCATGCCTTCTTTGGTATCTTCTTTGGTCTTGTGATACTAAAAGATTTCATGAAATTGAATACCGATTCCAAATTAAAGACCACACAAAAAATTCCGTCGACTGTGGATTTGGTAATACTAAGCATATGTATGTCAAATCGGAAGCTTGGTGTATTGATCATATAATTGATATTATAAAAAAAAGTGCAAGTAATAATATTCCAATAAATTTTTAGAAGCAAAAAGAGGTAGAGCTTTTTTGTAACTGGGTATTAGCATTAAGTTCATTATACTGAAAACCTCCTGCTATTCAAAAATATCATATCTTTCAGTTTAATTGTGAAAGGCCTGGCATAATGAGGGCTAAAATAAGGGTTAATGATCCTTGGGATGAATTTCAACTGTTAAAAAAAAAGCTGATCCACATAGTCTAAATCCTTGGACTATTCGAGAACTTCTACCAAGAGGTTTTCCAGAGGAAAAACAAGTAGATCTTTGGGAAAAGATTCATGAATATTGTCCAACTGAATTTCAAGATGAACTTTGCCCAAAGCCACCAAATAATGTAATAAAAAGAGTAAAAGGAAAAGAAACTTGCGCAAGAGGAACTCACATAAAAGGAAAAGAAAAAGAAAGTTAGTTATGCTATTGATAATGTATTAAAACAGTTGACAAATATAATTAACTTGTACATAGTAGTTGATTTACAGCGAAGCGTTTAAAAAAAAATAAAATCAATAAAATTGATTTTGTGACACAATTTGCTAAATTTAATTATCATTACGTCAGATTTTCACAGGAGTATATCCAACATTTAAATTCTGATGATAGATTGTTCATAGATGGTATGCAGAAAACCGACTAAACATTGAAAGCCCAATGACAGGTTTTCTATTGATGGCACTCATATGTAAACACTTCTAGACAGCAACCTTAAACAGTAAATAAGATAGTATCACCTAACTCCAATATAATACATGACCCACAAAACAAAATAGAAACTGACTCAGCTTCAATAATCTCTGCAAACCATAATACTTTAAATATACTTACCTATAGCCAAGCCACAAAACAAAACCTCACTAAAAATCAAATACAGCTTGATAAAGATCCTACTTAAAATGACTAAAACATATATATACAGAACTTAATAAAGAAATCTCTCAACTATATGACAATGCTATATGGTATTATGATAAATTAATTAACAATATGCAGACCAATATAAGAATTCAATAATTTATACAATACAAATTTAAAACTAAACTGACACACAACAGTATTACTCTAGCAATCTATGCAAAATTTAAATACTTAGACTATACTTTCTTTCTTACATTTACTAAAGCAAAAAAATTCATATTACAACATCAGAATGAATACAAAAAATTATTTTACAATGCACTGCAAAATTACAAAAGTGCAAACCAAATCACTATTATCAACAAAGAAACTAAAGATGATATATACCTAAAATTTTAACAAAAATTATTTCTTGATTTTATAACCAACACCAACTTCAACAGCTGCCTTCAAAATATATTATATATGACTAATCAAATATTACAAAGGATTTACTAAGAATACAACTTTAAACACCTATGATAAAATTCAAAAGGCAGTTCAAGCTACAATAAATAGAAGATTACAACCTCTACTTGATCACTCCAACAATATTTTTTTTTTTTTTGAATATTAATAGTGAGACCATATCTCTGTCTTTATTAAAATTTAATTTAACTCTCTTACAAAACAAAGATCATACAGGAGTATAACTCTTATACAAAGAAAAGAATAAATTTAAACTTCATATCCTAAGATAGCAAGAAA